TATCTCGTGTGCTTCACAAAAGTTGTTGAACTCGGTCGATATAAATTCACCTCCATAATTAGTTCTCATGAATTTGATAGGAAGTCCTGTTTCTTTCTCGACAAGTACTCTGAAGAGTTTAAATGTTAAAAGAACATCTGATTTTGTATTTAAAAAATAAGGCCAAGCCTTATGGCTAAAATCATCAATTAAACACATCATATATCTTTTTCCACTTCTTGTAATTGGAGAGATAGGATCGCATAAGTCAGCATGAATAAGTTCTAACCTTTGTGTAGCTTGCCAAGTGCTATGCTTCGACATAGGTTCTTTGTGTTGTTTACCTTTTAAGCAGTATGCATATACCTCATTGAACAATGTGAATTGGGGTAGTCCATATACTAGATCTTGCTGCTGCAATGTTTGTATACCTGACTTGCTGATATGTGCCAGCCTTTGATACCATAATCAAGATAAGTCTTGTATGGCAGTATGAAGACACATCCCCTGGTTCTTGTTTGTAGCCTTGGTTAATGTTTTTGCTACCAAGGTGAACTATCTATTAGGAGCCACACCTGACTGAATGATGAGACCTTTCTCTGGATGATATATCTTGCATCTATTATCTTCAATCAAAATGGATAAGCCTTTTTCTTATAGTTGTCCCATGCTCAAGAGATTGTTCTTGATCTCAGGTATGTAAAATACGTCACCAACTATGCAAATCATCCCATTTATCTCCATTTTGACACTCCCAATTCTAGACACCATTTTTGAATCATTTCCAAGCTTCATAGATTGTGTAAAACTTTGATCCAACTCATAGAACATGTTTTTATCACTACACATGTGGTTGCTGCATCCCGAATCCACGAACCATAAATCTTCTCGTTTCTTAGATGTCTCCTCAATATGCGCCATCAAAACCATTTCTTCCTTTTCCAAGCTTTACGTAATTTGTTTGCCGTCCCCATGAAGGGCATTCGTACTAGAAGTGGCTGAGCTTGTGAGACCGAAAACATTTGATGATAGATTTGTCGAATGTTGCTCTTCCTCTCCCAGCAATGCCTCGACCCCTTCCTTGGTAGTATCCTCTTCCGCCTCTTCCTCGATTGGAAACTGTTGTTACCTTAAACACCTGCTCTTCCCTGATCTCTCATTTCCTCAGCTTTGGCTCATACACTAGTAACGAACTTTGCAGTTCATCAACTATAAGTTGATCGATGTCCTTTGATTCTTCAATCGAGCACATGATGAAGTTTTTTGTTAGTGTTCGTAGAATCTTTTACACGACCTTGACGTCATCCATATCTTCTCCACAATTTACATGTCATTGGCTATAACTAACACCCTTCCAAAATAATCTGTCACCGACTCTCCGGCTTCGAACGACATGCAAAGTCTTTGTAGCTGAGCCCGCTTCACTCTCGCATTTCCCTGGTATTTCATTTTCATTTGACTCTCATATCTGCTTTGATGTCTCCTTTTGAGTGATAGTCTTTAAGATCAACTTATCAATGGCTTGAAATAGGTAGTTCTTTGATTTTAAGTCTTTAAGCTTTGTTTCATTCACGCTTTCTGCTGATCTGCGGATAATGCTTCAAGGGCTGTTGGTTCACGGTAACCATCCAAGACCACACTCCAATACTTCTTTGAGCGCAATAAGTTTTCCATGATCAAACTCCAATGATCATAATCTCCGTCGAACACTGGCACACATGGGGCTGTGAAATTACTTGATTCAGCAACCGTCTCTCAATCAATTTCTTTTCTCACACACTCATGTTTATCTCTCACACTAATTCTTCCTCTCTCCCTCGTGTTTATCTCTCACACTCGATCTGGCTCTGATACCAAATGTAAAACAGAAGCTTAAAAGAACACAAACAGAAGAAATTGTTGGCGTCAAAAGCTTACATTTATTTAACAAAGTACTAGGCAATTTATAGCCTTTTACAAAACATAAAAAAGAGAAAAACAAGCTAGCTTAATCTACGACATTATTGAAAAGCCTTAGAAATAGGACTCCTAAAGATTTGGTAAAACTAACTTCAAAAGACTTGGTAAACAACTAGAGCCAAGAAAACAAGTATTGGATACACCTCTTGATATAGAGATTGCCGAACCCTAGAGTGTGATTCAAAAGAGACACGAACTCAATGGTTTAGGTCCTTAGTAGGTCTACCTGATATCAGTGTTTTAGTTCTAGACAAAAACGACATAAGTCATACTCCCAAAAAAAAGGGGTGTCGGTTGTTGCTACTGCTCCATGAGGACAAGAAGGAGAAAAGGAAGGCTGGAGAGAGCCTAAATCAATATCGGTCAAAATCAAGTTGCCGTTCGATTTTTCGTCAAAAGATTTCCTAAAGAAGGACATCTTCCCAATGGTAAGGACAAAAAGAGGACAAGCGTCTTAAGGCTTGTTTCAGCACGACACAACAAAATTAAATTTAATTTCCAGTGGTAGTTGTCTGGAACATTTGAAGTGAGCTCACCATAAGAATTTAGGTTTTCATGAGGATGCACAGAGGCAGAATCATTATTTGGTTTTTTCCACTTTATTTATATTTATTGGTTAGGTTGTTTGTTGATTAAAAATTTCTGTTTAATTATAACCTATTAGCTATCAATTATGTTTTGCTACACAAAGAAAAGATATGTTAGATTTGATGTAAATGGTGTTTGAGAATATTGCACCTTAACTCAAACCATTTAGGTGTTTTAAAGCTCCTTACCTTGTCTTGACCTTTGGTTTACCATTTACCCTTCCAGCATGAAGCTACTTTTGAAGTTACATTGGCTGACACCCATTTAGATATATGGAAGATGATTCTTCATTGTATACTCCCTCGAAATTTTCATGGATATTCATGAATATATACCAAGTTTGATATTAGTTGGTTTGAGCCAAGGAGAACTACATTTGTAACTTTAGAACATAACAAATACTGAATATGCAGGCTACATGGTCTTAGTTCATGGACGATACATAGAATGTGCGTCAAGCCTATCTTCCTCATTCTATATATGATAAATATCCTGATGATATTTTCTTTGTTTGTGTTGTTCTAAAGTACTTTTTAGCATTGGAATCCATACACCCAATTTATATTGCACATGGCATGATATACTATCTGTGATGCCAAATATTACAATATCGACAATATCACGTGGGGAACAAACTACAACCAACAATGAGGAATGGGAGGGACACGTGGCAGCAGATCCTTCCATACAGCCCATCAGGAGAGATAACCGAATCAGGAGGCCCAATAGAAAATACGTGGATGGAGGTACTACATAGTGCAGTGGGGTGCAAGGAATAAGGCAACTATTTTTGGAAAAAGACTCTTTCTCCTTCTAGAATTCTCTATCTTCTTCCTCTATATTTCAAGCTTACCTTGCAATTGTCTTGTATTTCCCTAAAAGCATATTGTGATGTTTTATCTAGATAGCTTCTCAATTAACGAAGTATTTTCAACCCTTGATTTGTCTTACTGTTTATTTCACTTGTCATCTATTACATTGGTGCTTTCATCCCATAACTCTCCATGGCAGAGGCTACCAGATTCAAGGAGATACAAGCCAATTTCAAGAAAATGATTGACCTAATGGAGAAACGCCATGAAGAATACACACTCAAAGATCAGAGGATACAACCAAAATCGCTCGTTTGGAAGTTGCTCTCGCAAAATCTAACGGGCCTAAAGGTCATCTCATTCATCCACCATTTCAAGCCTGCAATGTCAAGTTGGATTTCCCTCGTTTTGACGAGACAGAGGTAATGCAGTGGTTGCTTAAGGCGGAGCAATTCTTTGATTATTATGGCAAACCAGATGCACAACGTATTACAATAGCCGCCATTCACCTTGACAAAGGTGTGGTGCCATGGTTTCAAATGCATACTCGTGATAGACCTTTCATTACATGGGATTCCTTTCGTTCAACCTTGGAATCGGAATTTGGTCCTTTACCGTTTGATTTCCCTCGTGCAAATCTCTTCAAGCTCATACAATCCACCATCGTTACTGATTTCTACATGGAGTTTACAACATTAGTTAATCAGATTCAAGGACTCAGTGCCGAGGCCTTACTTGATTGCTTCATTAGTGGGTTTTGTAACGACATTCGTCGGGATGTGATAGCCCAAAGCCCACAATCTTTGGTGAAAGCGGTATCTCTGGCTAAACTCTTTGAGGAAAAATGTGTTTCCATTCCGGTAAGTAAACCTTACAACCCTGTTTCCTTTCCTCGCTCAACTACTCCTGTCACCACCACAAAATCACCCTTACCGCAGTTGTTACCGACCACTTCAAAACCCATAACCACTACATCTAAACAACCTTCGATCAAACGTATTTCACCGATTGAAATGCAGATCCTCCGTGAAAAGGGCCTGTGCTATACCTGCGACGAAAAATTCTCCCTCAGGCATAAATGCCCAAATCGCCAAATACTCTTACTGATGGGAGATGATGAGGAAGTTCACCCTATCACCACTACTCATTCATCTGACCCTCCTTTTACAGAAAAACCCCTTCTTTTCTTTCCTCCACCGGACAATCATTTATCGTTTAACGCTATTTAGGGATATCAAAGCAAGGGTACCTTATGTTTTACCGGGTATATCAATGATGGAATGGAACTCCAAATTGTCCTCGATAGTGGGAGCTCTGATAATTTCCTCCAACCTCGATTAGCTCATTGTCTGAAATTGCCAATTCAACCTTCTCCTAATTTCAAAAGTCATGGTGGGCAATGGCAATAATCTCACAGCTGAGGGCTTTGTAGACAATCTACGTGTTGTTATTCAGGGACATCGTCTACATGTACCAGTTTATCTTCTGCCTATTACAGGCGCATAATTGGTTCTTGGCGCATCGTGGTTAACAACCTTAGGACCCCATATTGCTGACTTCAATGCCTTGTCAATTAAATTTTATCACGATCACTCTTTCGTTACCCTTTATGGTAACAATGTTTCCCTTCCTCAACCAGCCCAGTACCACCACATTCAAAGAATGCACACCACTGGAGCCCTAGCCGAGTCTTATCAAATACAGTTCTTCTATTTAGTTAGCGATCCTAAGGTGCAAAAATCTAATGATTCTGAATCAAACGCTGAATTGCAAACTCTTTTAACGGAGTTTCAGGATGTGTTTCCCACACCATCCGGGTTGCCACCATCAAGGTCCCACGATCATGGTATACCCTGCTTGGATGGCAGTAACCAATTAAAGTTCGTCCATACAGATATGCCCACAACCAGAAAAATCAAATTGAGATAATGGTACATGAGATGTTACAACATGACATTATTCAACCCAGTTCCAGTCCTTTTTCTTCCCTAGTTCTTTTGGTTCGAAAGAAGCATGGTTCTTGGAGGTTTTGTACAAGTTATAGGGCACTAAATGCTATTACTATTAAAGATCGCTTTCCAATTCCAACGGTCGATGAACTGTTGGATGAGCTGTGTGGTGCCAATTATTTTTCAAAATTGGATCTCCTCTCAGGGTATCATCAAATATTAATGAAACCCGAAGACTGCCACAAAACCGCTTTTTGAACATATCAAGGGCTTTACGAATGGCTAGTAATGCCTTTTGAGCTTACTAATGCGCCTGCTACCTTTCAGAGTTTAATGAACTCTGTTTTCAAAAACCAATTGCGCAAATCTGTCTTGGTTTTCTTCGATGATATATTAGTGTACAACTCATCTTAGGTAGCCCATTCAAAGCACCTCAGGGAAGTGTTGGAACTGTTGTGTGCTCACTCCTTGTTTGCAAAAACATCCAAATGTGGCTTTGGAATGACTCAAGTTGATTATTTGGGTCATGTGGTTTCAGGTAAAGGTGTTCATATGGCCCCGTCAAAAGTCAAAGCCATCATGGACTGGATAGCTCTTACAAATATTCGGCTATTGCGGGGTTTTTTGGGCTTGGCGAGATACTACCGCCGGTTTATCCGGGGTTATGCTTCACTTGCTAATCCTCTAACATCCCTCCTAAAGAAAGATAGCTTCTTTTGGGATGAGCATACCGCTTCGGCTTTCAGCAAATTAAACTCCGCCATTACAAACGCTCCAGTCTTACAATTACCTGACTTCTCAATTCCTTTTATTCTCGAGATCGATGCCTCCGGGATGGGTATAGGAGCCGTTTTAAGTAAGAGAAAACATCCGATAGTTTTCTTTTCAAAGAAACTGAGCCCCCCACATGCAGAAATATCGTTTGTCAAAATATGGACATTTTGTTCAACTGAAGGCCGATTTCACTAGTTTAAAGGTGGTGGAAGCATTTGTTACCAATATTATTAAACTGCATGGATTTCCTAAGTCCATTGTGTCTGATCGTGACAAGGTTTTTACCAATAAATTTTGGCAACAATTGTTCAAACTTAGTGGCACAACTCTAGCCATGAGTTCCTCATACCATCCATAATCCGATGGCCAATACGAAGCATTGAATAAGTGTTTGGAACAGTATCTTCATTGCTTTACCACCACACAACCTTCAAATTGGTCAAAATTGTTACCATGGGCAAAATTCTGGTACAACTCTTCTTTCCATACTAGTTTGGGTGCTACCCCTTCAAGGTTGTTTATGGTCGTGACCCGCCTACATTGGTTAATTATGACCTATCAGTTTCTGCTTTGCTAGTTTTGCATGAATTACTCAAGGAACATGATGCTGTCTTGTCTCAACTCAAACTTAATTTAATCAAGGCTCAACCATGCCATGAAGAGACAAGCTGATAAAAACAGAAGACACGTGGAATTTAAAGTGGGTGATATGGTCTTGGTGAAACTGCAGCCCTACAGACAGCTTTCGGTGACATTATGGCATAACCAGAAATTACGGAAATAATATTTTAGGCCTTTTTCCAATTGTTGATCGAATTGGAACTGTTGCATATAAGTTACAACTCCCATCTTTTGCAAGAATTCACCCGGTATTTCATGTCTCACTGCTGAAGTTGTGTCATGGATCTCATCATGAGCCGTACTTACCTATGCCTTTAACTACAACAGCTCTTGGTCTAATTCTCATGCCCAAGGCCATTCTGCAGTCAAGATAATTGCTACGAAAAGGTCAAGAGGTTCATCAGGTGTTGGTACAATGGGAAGGTCTACCAACTGAAGAAGCAACCTGGGAAGATAGTAGCCCGTTGTTAGAAAACTTTCCATCCTTGAACCTTGAGGACAAAGTTACTCTCAATAGGGGGAGTAATGTGATGCCCAATATTACAATACCGGCAATATCATGTGGAGAACAAGCTACAACCAGCAATGAGGAATGGGAGGGACATGTGGCTGCAATCCTTCCATACAGCCATCAGGAGAGGTAACCGAATCAGGAGGCCCAATAGAAAATACGTAGATGGAGGTAATACATAGTGCAGTGGGGTGCAAGGAATAAGGCAACTATTTTTGGAAAAACTCTTTCTCTCTCTCTCCTTCTGGAATTCTCTGTTATCTTCTTCCTCTATATTTCAAGCTTACCATTGCAATTGTCCTTTATTTCCCTAAAAGCATACTGTAATGTTTTATCCATATAGCTTCATCAATTAACGAAGTATTTTCAACCCTTGATTTGTCTTATTGTTTATTTCACTCGTCATCTGTTACACTATCTTGTTCCCATGCTTTCTAGCACACATGCTGTTTCCACTATCCTGATGATCTTTTCTTTGTTTGTGTGACAAAATGTTGGTAAGATCAAGAAAAATGCATTTTAATAATAAGAAAACTAGTAGATTACTGTGCTAGATTTTGAATTGATTCAATAAAAAACTCCCTACACACTCTCCATATCTTTGACATCCTATATAGTGCAGATATTGGTTAAATGATAATATCACCGAAGTATGTATATAAGAGTTGGGAATTTCTAATAGTCACAATGAGGATCGTTTCTAGCAAAAAAAAAAAAAACTGCTCAAGTCCATTCATAATAAGACAGCCTACTAAGCTTTAAAGAGAATTGAAAGTTCTTATCCTCTAGAAAAGGAGGGAATTTAAAGCTTCAGGACTGGATTGTCATGTGATTATGTAAACACTAATCATTCTTATAGAGCAGAGTGAGCAAGAAAACAAATGATTGAATAAAAAGATAATATCACTAGAATATGCAAATTAGGATGGAGTTATAAATTTCTGTTCATGACGATGAAGATTGTTTTAAGCAAAAGAAATGCTCAAGTCCATCTGTAGTAATTAAAAGAAAGTCATACGACTAACTTTGTTACCCCAAAGATAATTGTAGTAATGTTTGTAAACTTCTTTAAATATAGGATTAACTTGGCATACCTTATTTAACATGTGGTGTGAGGATTTCCATGAGTACAACCTACTGCTCATGTGATTATTCTATATTGCAAAGTAAGACACATTCATATTCAACATATGAACTTATTTTATGTAGGATTGTTAATATCAGATCCATGTATATATGGTATAACACATTCTTCTCTCTTAGATCACATGTTGATAGTGTTTCGAAACAGGAGGATTGTGAAACAATTCACAGATTTAAAGCTCTACCCCTTAACAAGAAGGTATTAGCTTTACATTCTGATTTAAATTTAATCTATAAATAATACAAATACTTAATCAATGGATGAGAGCATATATGTCTCTATAAAAAAGAAGAAAATACAGTAGAACTAAGTTTGCATATGTTGCAATACAATATGATGGTTAGAGGAAGTTGGTGTTGCTTTTGCAATCAATAACATTAATAAATTGAAGATGCATTTAGTGTGTTGGTATTTGATAGTTTCCATTGCAAAAGAACACTGATTCTGAAATTTCTGCATTGATTCTTCGATGTAATGAGCTTCACTTGCAAGACCATGCACCTTTTAACTAATCTTGATATGATGGTTAATGTTTTAGATATGATAAATTTTGGCGAATCTTCACAATCAAAAAAAGCCAAGAGTTAACTGGAAAAAAGAAAATGTGGTGAAAACATTTATCTAGTCTTGTTTGCATGAGATCTTCGTAAATAGACGAGAAGGGGGTAGTCTTAAGACAGTTTCTTGGAAGAATGTAGTAGAAGTGCTACAAAAGAATCATAATTTTGTTGTTGAACAACGAGAAATGAAAAACCATTATGATTACCTTAAAGGAAAGTATGAAGCATGGGTAAGTTAAGAAACAAGATGGGTAATGTTTATGATGTATCAACAAACATGTTTAATCTGCCAGAAGAGGAATGGCAGATAGAAATAAAGGTCACATTTTATCTTTTTCTATTAAGATTATTTTTCTAAATTCTTCTTTTATATATACTTATAAATCATCTATAAACAACAAAACAAATTTGTTGAGAAGTTGCGGACTGCACCTCTTCCCTTTCCTCAGCTTTGTATTCAGTTGTTTAATGGAGTGGCTTCCATCAGTGTTGGAACTTGGGGACCAATTGGTACTGTTCCAAACCCTTCTAGTGTGACTCCTGAAATTGGTGAATATTATGACACACAAGACTATTATGATCTAACACAAGAACCACTTCCTTCAGAAGAAGAGATTGTTTTTCGTCCTCAACCTCAAAGGAAAAAGCAAAGAGGAAAACAACGTTCAGTAAATGAGGATGATTTAGCAAGGCTTGTGACACATGTTAAACAGATCTTGAACAAACCACCGGGGGAGGATGAGAAGGATCATTGCATTGATAAGTTGGAAGCAAACAACATTGTATGACATAGCACTTTACATATTCAGCCAAAGCACTGACTATAGGAAAATTTGGTTACACTTGAGCAAGGAGAGGTGTGAGGGGTGGGTTAAATTTACAGGTGGTAAGCTTGGTCTATTTTAGTTTGGTGATGTTTTGTTTTGTTTTGAACAATCTTTTTTAGACGATATTTTTGAGGATGTTTTTTGGATGGTATTATGATTGATATAATATGAATAAATGACTATTTCAATTTGAAGGAATGTTTGTTTCAAGTTGATGTTTTCCATTTTTTTGTATTAGTTGTTTAAACTTGATGTTATATTTATGATATCTTTGAAGCATAAGGTGATGTTATATTGTGTTTTATAATTGAAAGTTCATACATGGATGAAAATGAAATTATTATGATTGTGCTTATTATATATTGGTATTTGAGAAGAAGAGCTTCAACACGAATAGAAAGGGTGAGAGATAACACTTTAGTTCTCACTAGACATGCGTATACACTACAATTATTAAGTAGATTCAATATGCAATGTCATAAATTGATGCGTTTATCTCGTGATGCCTTTATAATGCTATGCGACCATTTTAAACAAAAAAACTGGTTGCAATCAAGTAGATAATCAAGTGTTGAAGAGAATATGGCGATGTTTTTGACAATTGTTGCTCATAATGAACGCTTTAGAATGGTTAAACGTAGATTTCAACACCTCTACACAACTACTCATAATTATTTTTATGAAGTATTGAGAGGAATGATGGAATTCGCGAGAGAGGAAGTAGGGCCAACAAAGAAATATTTCTGTTATGATTTATGTTATTGATTTGATAATTTCTAAACGTTTTTGATATTTTTACATGTTTTTGGTAGTTGATGTTCTTTAAAGGGGGCTATAGGTACACCAGATGGAACCCTAATACATGCATTTATGCCTAGTGATCAACAAACAAGGTATAAAAGAAAAAAGAAAAGAGGAAAAGGAAGAGGGGAACGCTACCAAAACGTTTTAGCCATTTGTGATTTTAATATGATAATCACGTTTGTATGGGCTGGATGAGAAGACATTGCACATGATTCTAGAGTTTTGAGAGAAGTTGCATTTAACCCAACTTCGGGATTTCTGTTTCCTTCATCAAGTAAGTATCATTTTCTTAACATTTAAAGATTATTATTAATCCATATTTTTTAAGTTGTAGATGTAATTACAAATGAATATTATATTTGTTATGCCGCATATACTTGTACCCATGGATTTATGACCCCGTATCGCAATACGATTTTCGACGTAGATGTGCATTAACAAAAGAAGAAATGTTCAATCATGCTCGTGCACAACATATAAATTTATCGAGCGTGCGTATGGTGTCTTAAAAGCAAGATTTCCAATCCTGAAGCAAATGGCTCCTTATCATTTTCCAGTACAAAAAGATGTGCGATTGCTTGTTTCACGATTCATAACTTTATAAGAAAACGCAATATCCAAGACCAATTATTCATGGAACACGATGAGAACACCATGTTTACCACTGCTGAAGAACAACATGAAGGAAGTAATGGAATAGAAGTCGATGAAATGCAGTGGAGTTCTCAAGACAGTGAATATATAACTAGTTTGCGTGATCAGATTGCATATCAATTATTGTCTAATATATTAAATCAAGATTTGTGCGACCATTATTATGTTTAAATTCAATTTATTTTCCTGTCTAAATATATTTCAATTATGAAATTTGTATTTTTGCCATGTCAACAATTATTCATACATAATATTTGGTAAATAGTTGCATTAGTTTAAACACTTCATCACATATAGAGTTATAATGGTCATTTTTTTATTAGTCAACACCAAATCTAGAATACTTGGTAAACAGTTTTTTTACAAACAACACTTACTCCAGTCAAATATGCTTACTCTAATCAGACCTCTTATTCAGACATCACTTACCAACTATTTTTGGTAAACAACCCCTTCCTCTACAAAAGATAAGGAGTGACAATGGAACTGAATTCAAGAATGAGACTCTTTAGAGTTATCTTACTTTTGTTGGAATTTCTCATAATTTTTCTGCTGTCAGGACTTCTCAACAAAATGGAGTTGTATAAAGGAGAAATAGGACTCTTGTTGAAGCTGCAACGACTATGCTGGTCTATCTAGACTTGCCTATGTTTTTATGGGCTGAAGCCATATATGTTTTTCATAAAACAGGAAAATTATTAATAAAAATCTTTATAAAACTTCTTATGAGATTATCAATAAAAGGAAGTCTAATATTAAATTCTTTCTTTTTTTTGAAAGCCTAATATTAAATTATTTCATGTTTTCTGTTGCAGATGCTTAACGCTAAATGATGTAGATAATCTTGGAAAGTTTGACAAGAAAGTAGAAGGAGTCTGTAATGGATATTCACTATCTTTTAAAGCTTTCAGAGTTCATGTCAAAAGAACAAAGATTATCATTGAAAACATCAATGGGACTTTTGATGAAAATATAGCTAAGACTTCTGAACAAAGTAGTTCAGGACTTAAGCTTCTAAACAAAAATTGTAGAACCTAAGCTAATTCAAACCATAACTAGTGAATCTATTTCTAAGTCTAGTAATTCAGAACTTGATTTAAAGACTTATTTGCTATATCTCTGGATGTTGTTGTAGATTTTTAAAACCCAAGCATTTCTAGAGATATCAACAATTCAACTTTAGATGAACTAGAAACAAATTCAAATCTATCTGGATCTGCTGAAGTAGTTGTTTCAACCTCTACTTTACCAAATGACTCTATCTATGAAAAATATGAGCAAAACTCTGGACAAAGTGATATTAACTCCGAATCTATCATTCTGGAGTTATCTACTTTAGAAATACATATATTTGAAGAGAAGCAACCAGATATACAATCTGAGAGTCATGTACAACTAGAAGTTCATGCTATTATTGATGAAATTGATGTTCAAAATAATCAAGATGTAGTTCAACCTCTTCCAAGAACAAACAAATGGACAAAGAATCATTCCCTATATCAAAATCATTGGTGATACAACTAGTGGAGTTAAAACCATATTTGCTATAGCTAATGAGTGTCTCTATGTAAACCTTTTAACCTCTATTAAACCAAAGAAGCCTTCTGAAGCATTACAAGATCCAGATTGGGTGCTTATTATGCTAGAAGAACTTCTACAGTTTGAAAGAAACAAAATTTGGAGACTAATTCCAAGATCTGAAAGAAAATCTATCATCGGTACCAAACGGGTTTTCAGAAATAAAAAGGATGAAGCTAGAATAGTTGTCAGAAATTAGGCTAGACCGGTTGCTGAAGAATATTGTCAACAAGAAGGCATAAATTATGATAAAACCTTGCACCAGTTACTAGGATTGAAGCCTTCAAAAATTTCTTAGCTTATACTACACACAAGAATTTTAAAGTTTTTCAAAATGATGCAAAATGTGCATTTTGAAACGGTTTGCTGGATGAGGAGGTATATGTGAATCAACCTGGAGGCTTTGAAGATCTCAAACATCTATATCATGTTTATGTTTTGTACAAAGCTTTGTATGGACTTAAACAGGCTCCAAGAGCATGGTATCAAACTCTAACTTTATTTCTTTTAAGGTCTGCCTTCAAGAAAGGTACTATTGATACGACTTTATTTCTGAAGAAATAAGATGAGGATTTAATCTTATTCAGATTTATGTGAAAGACATAATTTCTGGCTCTACAAATCCTCAGTATTGTAAGAATTTTTCAGACATAATGTAAATTAAGTTTGAGATGAGTAAGATGGGATAATTGAATTTCTTTTTTCGACTTCAAATAAAACAATATCCTAAAGAAATATTAATTAATCAAGCTAAGTATGTAAAAGATCTTTTAAAGAAATATAATATGTCTGATTATTCTTCTATAAAAACACCACTGGAATTAAACTTGATGTTAATTTCAATGGTAAATTTGTTGATCTAAATACTTATAGAGGCATGATTGGTTCTTTATTGTACTTAACTGCTAGTAGACTAGATATTATGTTTGCCACATGCTTCTGTGAAAGGTATCAAGTAAATCCTATGGAGTCTCATTTTGTAGTTGTAAAAAGGATTCTAAGATATCTCAATGGCACAACAAGTTTGGGCCTTTGGTATCCTAAGTATTCTATTTTTGATTTAACAACTTTTACAAATGCAAATCATGTTGGTTGTAAGTTAGACCGAAAAAATACCTCTAGATCATGTCAATTTTTGGGATATAAGTTGGTTAGTTAGACATCTAAGAAATACAATTGTGTTCCAATATCAACTGCAGAAGCAAAATATGCAGATGCAGTAAGTTGTTGTTCACAAATAATTTGGATGAAGTCACAACTTAAGGATTATGGATACATAGTCAATAAAATCCCCAATTTACTGTGATTCCCAAAGTGCCATTGACATAACTGCTAATTCTGTTCAACACTCCAAGACTAAGAATATTGACATCATGTATCATTTCAATAAGGATCGTGTTGAAAAAGTTACAATTGAATTGTACTTTGTAGAAACAAACTTTCAACTTGTAGACTTGTTCACTAAGCTTTTGGATGAAAAAGAATTAGTTTTCTAGTGAGCAAGTTGGGCATGTTTAATTTGGCTACTTATATATATTTTTTGTAGCTCAAGAGTTGTTGAATTCTATTTTAATTTTCAAAAAATTCAGATTTTGAAGTGTTGGTGCATTCAATGAGTATCAAAATAGTGATGACATTGATCCACAAGAAGCTCAACGAACTCTTGAAATAGCAGAAGTGTTTTGAGAAAAGCTGAAGGAAAGAGATAAACAATTAAGGCAAATCTAGCTCTCTGATGGGTTAGGACACAAGTAGACAAACAATTCAAAGATCTGGATTAGTTAATTTAGATTTGAGAAACTTCAAAATTTAGAGTTAATGAAAATTTATCTTCTAACTCTGAACGAGCAATTCAGAGTTCTGGGTCAATTAGATCAGAGTTTTCTTCTAACTCTAGACAAAGTTGCTTTGAACTCTGACTCAACTTGTTTAGATTTACACTTAACCCTTGAGTTTACTATAGATGGTAGCTAAATTATTTTATTCAATTCATTTGCACTTTTCATTTGATCTGAATTCATCTTTCAAGGGGGAGTATTTTTTTAATGCTAATGTTTGTTCATGTTAAGCTAAATCTGAGGGGGAGCTAATTGTATTTGCATCTAACTCTAAATCTGAATGCATAGTAAATCTGGATACAGTTTATCTAACTTCTAAGTCTGGATAAGATGTACACAGGATGAACTTGAATATGAAGTTGTTAAGTTTGAACACTCATTGCACTTCAAAGTTTCAAGGTATGCTTTCTGAAGGAATTTTTTTTTCAAAATCTCTTGAAAGAAAAATAACTTTCAAGTTGACAAAATTCTTTGATAAATGTCCAAACCACTTCTTTAATCTCAAAATTTTTTATGATATAAAGAAGTTGGATTTTTAAATGAATTTCATTTTAGAGTTAATCTGTAATTCTAAATTCAAAGAGCTCTAACTCTGGCTCTTCTATCCAGAGTTATGACATAACATTTCAGAGTTTTTACTTGTGTAAATTCTCTTATCGACCATAGTTACAAATAAATATCTAGTCATCTCGTGCCATGTGCCATGATCGTATTGCTACAGTTATTACAATGTCTCGTAATTTAAACTATTTGATGGTAATACATGCGTTAGAGCACGCTTAGTAGCTTAATCATCATTTTTAAACATGCTTTTACGACACGTGTCACTCTATACAAATGTTTCATATAATTTTTCAAAGGGTTTAATCGATAAATAGTTCATATTGATTTACATTCAAAATTTTCACGAACCCTTCCTTGTGCAAACACAACTTCGACCTAAAATTTCAAATGGCTCAATCTCGATCCAAAGTCCAATCTGCTCTACGAAACGCAAAATCCTATTTTTACTCATCGTCCAAAGTTTGACAATGATGAGGTAAATCAACCTTCAATAATGATGGAGAAATTCAAGTTCCACTTGAATAGAATGTGGAAGTTCAAGTCGAAAATGTTGTTGTGGAAGAAAATCTTATTACGATGGAAGCTGAGGAACCAGAAAATGTTGTCAGAATAACCCCTATAGCAACTAATGCTGCAGGTTGAGTCTCGAGTTAAGGCTCAGTTCCAGAGGTGCCGTCATTGATGCCTATTTGGATGTTGAGTGAGGGAGGACTTCCACTTGTCCTTAAGAATCCTCAGAAGATGAGGAACTCTGTCCGGGTGATCCGACACTTGTTTTCACATCCTCTGATTCAAAGGCAGAAGATGGGAAATAAGTATGTTTCCTGGTCGATACACGAGGTTTTATCCTTTTATCATCCTATATTTTGTAATTCACGGTTTTGATTTTTATGTCCTCCCCACCCAATCCCCCTTTGAGACACCTAGTTTGACTAGATTTTAGATCTTTTAAATAATAGCATTTTTCTTCATTTCATTTGCTTAAAGAAATAGGCATAAGGGCATATTCTTTGCATTTTCGTACCGGACATCAAAAGCCTTAGGATCGCTCTGCAAAGGGGTGACTAGCTCATGCTTACAGTAAAGATCATAGTAGAATAGAGGTACTTAAAGACTACGTTCATTGAAAATGAAAAACAAAATGTCGACATATTGGCGAGATAGTGTACAAGAAAAGGGAAGTCATAAAATTTAAATACTACTAAGATTCTAATTAAAATAATTGCAAAATACAAAATGTAATACCACTGTATATCGGTTGAGATATTCAAGTATGATCTTTCAAGTGCGCCAAGAGATCTATTCGTAATACGAGATGAAAAGAGAGGGTATGCTATTAACTTCTCATAATATGGACTTTTCCTTCTTGTCGTCATGCTTCCTTTGTCCTAATAGACCTCTTTGTAGTTATTAGTTTACAGGACCAAAAAAATACCTAAATGTGTGGTAATAAGTTTATAGGACGTTTTTGGACGTCTTAATAAGTTTTTAAGGACACTTTTAATACAAAGCGTCTAATTAGCAATTTTAGAGGACACTATTATGTACTTCCTATAAGAAAATGAGTTTTTATGACATTTTCTCAAAAATGTCCTATAAAGTTGCTTATGCGACGCTTTGTAATAAAAATATTCTAAAAAACTTGTTAAGATACCAAAAAGCATCATATAAACTTATTACAACGCCTTTAGATAAGACGTTTTATATTTTGATCATATAAATCAAGTCTTATAAGATGGTCTAATAGGGCGCTTAAAGATTGGAGGTGTCCTATAAACCCAATTTTATTGTTAAAAAAAGATATTGATCATCGTGGCTACTACAACATATTGTGGCCACAGTGTTAGTTTGCCATAGGTGATTTTGAATCCTTTAAACTTCATCACCCTTAAGAAAAAAGTTAGACCTAAAGAAAAGATAGAAGGACGAAATGAGTATAGAAAGTATCGAAAAGGGAACAAAAATAATGGTACATATGATCATAATATAATTATTAAATTATATCATATAAATATCATATTCTATTTTATAAAATAAATTATATTTTTATTTAATTAATAATGAACATATCATATTCTATTTTATAAAATAAAAAAATCAGACCAAAATGGACGAGAGCAAAGACCGTACCATTTTAAATCTGAATAAAATTGGTCCTAGACCAGGCCGGACCATGGTCCTTAAGATTCTAGGACCAGACATGTAGAGAGTGATCATGCCAATTTTACGTTTGTCAATTAGTTGAACGAGAGCCATAGACTTATCTCTAGGTTTATTACACTACAATCATGACGATAAATCAATCGTTATCCATTAATCGTTCGTTTGTGGGATGGATATCGATCACTTCTTTAAAACTGAAATTATATTTTCCATTTAACCATTTTGACAAGGACTACTTATGTTGTTAGAGGCTGTTTGACAATTGTTGAATGATTTGGTGCAAAATGAAATATAATTGTTTGGTAATTGTGTACAATGAAATTAGGGCTCTTAATGTTTAAGGGAGATCCAGGATACAACATCATTCAGAGGCAGACTTTTTTTTGCCAAACAAGATTCACCTCTTAACGATTCAGAGGTTGCCTCTTAATGGAACTATTAAGAGATAAACAAACAGTCTTTGTATTTTAACAAAAATACAACTAAGTTTGGTTGCTTCTTCATGCAATATGTTTTCTCTAATCAAAACAAGAAGTACTCAATCCACAGACATAATTTTTTTTTTACATCTTGCAAAAACGACAGTTTTTGTAGCTCACATTCATAGTCATTTGATTACATACAATAAAAGGGTGTACATTGCAAAGAGAAAACGTTGAAGTAACACGTAACGTAGAAGTTAGGGATGTAGCAAAAAACGACGAATCAAGGCTCTTGTGGAAGACTTTTATCCTTAGTTATGACCGGCTCAAATGGTGCATCCGTGGTGTCGTAAGCCATCTTGGCATGGTGCTTGTCGACGGTTGGTAGCTCTTGACCCAAGCTTTTCTCCGATGTTAGTAGATGATCTTTGCTTTTACCCCACACCACCGAGTAAAGACCCATCACGATGATGATGGCTCCTAGCAAACTGTTATCGCATTTGGTACGTAAAATTAGTTGAAATAATTGTAAAAGAAATCGTTAACTGCTAAACAAACCGTGTAAAAATATGTTTTTATGCAACTTTAGAATTACCTTCCAAGGTGGACTTGTTCGGACAACACGATGGCACCAAGAACTGCGGTTATGATCATGCAAAGCGGACTGAATGCGGTCACGAAGACCGGACCACGAACCCTATTGACAACTCCTTGAACATAGTATGCGATCCCCGAACAAATTACACCCTAACGATAAATTATAGCGATTAGGATCCATAATCACTCTTTTTAATTATAGGATTAAATATCACGTGTATGTGTTTATATTATTAATAGGTGGTCTTCCTTTTTTGGCATTAGTGATGGTACACAAGGCAATACGTGTTAAAAGTTATCGAATTGAATTTCTTATACTTTCAAAATTAAAAACGAAATTAGTATTTTAGGACGCACAAATCCCCTTGTAGCCACAGAGGTTCATATATGTGTGTTGTAAAAATACCTATTTCAACTGTTGTCGAACGTTATATATATCGAGAGTAAATATTATGATGATATTCAACATGTCTTGTGTTGTACTGTCAATAAAAGTTAAAGCGAAAAAGTAGATTCGATAACAATGAGTTGGGATGTATTCAATAGTGCAAACAAGAACAAATATATTCTTGTTATTTTGTACTATGTTCTCTCTCAAGGAAAGCTGCCCAACTCAATGTGTTACGCATTAGCGGCATTTGCTACATAATCCGCATCTGTTGTCAGATATTTTATCATAAGGTAAGTGATGACTTCTTCCAAGAACGGATTCTTCTTAATCTTAATTAAGTTGATTTGTTGCTGCTGATTTCAATAGCCAAGTCAAGCTTTCCAGCAGGCGAGACAGATGCCGATTCTACCTCTGTCAACTACCTCTTTGTTTTAGATTTTTATCACTTGGCATATGATTTATATTCATGTCAATGTTTCATTTGATTATTGATGATATATCTATATATATATATGTATATATATATATATATATATAGGGAAAATTGTATGAAAAAATAACGTACTTTAACTTGATTGGGTAACATACTTTCAAAACTTTCATTTTAGTACTCAAGATGTAAAGTTTTAAACATTTAAGTACCTGGGTAACCCGGTGAAGACTAATTTTATACTAAAAAAAGACTAATTTTAGATTTAAAAAAATTCACGTCACTGACCACATCAGCAAATAATACCGAGTTGGATACCACATCACTCGCCACATCAGCATGATAATCGGTTAATACTTCAACCAGTTACCCGGGTACTTAAATGTTTAAAACTTTACATTTTAGGTACCATTATGGAAGTTTTGAAAGTACGTTACCTAAAATAGGAATCAAGTTAAAGTACATTACTTTTTCATGCAATTTGTCCATATCTATATATATAGAGGTTGATTATTATACAACATTTGACATTTGTACAACCAACACAATCTAATCTCAACCGTCCATTTCATTTGATTAATAAGTGATTTCATAGAAGTTTTGATTGTTTTATAATATAAAGTATTGATCATAATTAATGAATTATATTCATCTTCCATAAATATTCAAATCATAATAAATGAACTCTCATCGTTTCCATAAATATCTCAATTTATTGGGTTGTATTGGTTGTACAAATGCGATGGATAATATTTGAAACAATCTCTCTCTCTCTCTCTCTATATATATATATAAGTTTTAAATCTCAACAATGGCAATAGTTGTTTTATTAAATGAAACAAGAAAATAACAACTCACCGAGTAAACAGATGCAAGAAGCCTAGAATCAAAGCCAAGAGCCCATGCTTTTGGATCACGCTCCATAATCATCGCTATAATCCCACCTTCCACCGTACCGGCTAAACATATCAACGACGTCAGACTTAGCTCTGCGGGATACTCTTTTAACGTCATCGACTGTATAAAGTTACACAGTATTATTAGAATCTAATATATATATATATATATATATATATATATATAACTTATCAATTATATATTTATATTTTTATAATCAATTCAATGATATTTTTTATTGTTCGACAATCGATTAAAATAGTTAATTAATGTTAATCACAATATTAATTAAATCATCTTAGACAAATAAAAAATAATGATTCATAAATTAATGTGTTGTTCGAACATGATTGTGTATATTATAGTCTTGTTAACTAATTAGATCGACCGTACGTCAAGGACAATATGATGATGACAAGGGCATTTTTAATGCATAAAGATTCTCATGATATATATATATATATATATATATGAATTTGTTTATATATTAAATGTATTATGAATTAAACGAAAGAGATGATGATTACACACCTGAACAATGAAGTAGGCAGACCAACTGCATGTACAAGCTAGAATCATGATTGTGCCGGCGAGCATATGTTGGCCGGAAGACGAAGCACCGGCGGCAGCTTTGTGGGTGGTTGCTGCACCGTGATGAGAGTACCACAATATATCAACAATTGGTCCTTTATACAGAGTCATCACCGTTGCTCCTGTCACTGTGATCACCGTCCCAGCTATTTTCGCTTGACTATGAATCCGTTTTAGATTCACCTTCTCCATCCTGCATTATTTTTATTCAAGAAAGCATCAAAAGATTGTAGATTTAGATTTAAGATCGTTAAGTTTGAATCGTTTGGACATGTAGTAATCAACGATACCCGAAAACCAACGCCATTATGAACGTGAGGGCAGGAAGAACATTGATGATCGCGGAGGCATATGTTGCGGATGTGTATGTCATCCCCAAAAAGTACAAGTTTTGATCAATCACAGGCCTGTAATTATCAACAAAACGTAGCAATTAGTTAAATGGTAGAGTTTCTTGATGAGCTAATTTGTAGTCAGATAAAAGGAGCATATATGAATTAAGCCATATCAAAGAGGTGCTTTAATGGATCTTAAATCGCTATTAGATTGTAAAGAAGAACGATGATACAAGTTGACAGGTGCAAAATTCAGTATTGTTACACAAAGAAAGGGAGAGGCTATGATGACCACAAGAATAGTTCAGGCATAAGGACACAATACGTTGATAGTCGATCGGTTATCACTTGAATATTATATTAATATATTAGGGTTGGGTTGTGAAAAAAAGTATAGTTTAGGTGATAAGCGTAAGAAAGGGATCTCCACCATTTGATACACATTCGGATGAGATGAATCAGATCAATCCCCATATCAAGCGAGATTCATGGGTGACCTTGATGTTAAAGGTGATCAAGGGTCCGGATCATTTTTTACGCTTCTCACCTTTAAGTCTACTTCTCACATGATCCTCGACACACACACATATATATATATATATATATTGTAGTTGTTATGGTAAACTTTCAATGTTTTTGAGGCATGTAATTCTGGCGTGTGGTGCTCTTTGTGTTATACTTGAAATTAATAGAAACTCACATAACATCGCTCAAAGTCTTAACTTAAAGATTATAGAGATCCTATTGTACATGTATAAGGTTTCATGCATAGTTTGCATGTTAATTTAAATTAGAAAGATTTTACAGATTTTGTTTTTGATAAACTTGGATATCTATCCCGTTATGCGAGCCTACAAAGTAAAACCATTTCATAGTAATGCCATTTTTTGTTTCATGCAGAAATTAACAAGGGATTTTTGGAGGAATTACTCTAGTAAACCCAGAAGGAGCACTTTGAGCAACACAGATCGCGTCAACTTTGGCCTTATTTTCCTGCAAAATCAGAGCAAACCATGCATCCACTTTATTAATTAATATGTAAACCACACTTCATTAAAAAGCTAGCGAGACGCTAGCGGAAGGAATTTTGGAAGCACAAAACAACGAAAAGGATAAGTTCTCCATATATAACAACACATCTTTTAGGTTAAGCATGAGCATGAGCATGTGCATGTATATATGCCATAATTAAACCCTAGATAGAGAATTAATCCATATAGTATAAGAAACCAACCTCTCAAAAGCAAGAGCAAACGGAGCAATGACAAGAGTAGCGGTGGCATGACGATAGACTACGAGAATCCAGTGGCTGAGTCCACGTTTCATGCCGATCATGGTTATGATATACATTCCAGCATATCCAAACTGGAGAGCCACCATCGCTAGGTATGGTTTTGATGAGTTCAATGCTTCTTTAAACGAACCCATTTCTCTATGACTAGTTAACACCTCTCTCTCCCTCTATATATATATATATTTGTATATATATTTCTCTATCTATGTAGAAGTATGTGATGTCAGTTGATGTTGTTGTACTTCAATGGAGCTGGATATGGCTGGGTTTATATACACATAGAAAAGCATATTTTTTAACCTAGACGGTAAGTTTCTAGTGGAGTTGGGAACACGATATTCATTTGCCAAACCACCTATGCTTGCAGCAAAGGAGAGCACTCACTTTGATTCTTTCATTAGAATATTCCCTCATCCATTTCCACATGGAATCACGCTGCCATGATAACATATTGAATCTATAAACAGTACATCTGTCAATATCACCTTCAGCAGTTCTATATCCGCTAACGCTTACTACCTTACCTGATGAATATGGTAAGGACTAAGAATCTTACCCGATAAAGAGCGAAACAAGAACCAAGAGTCTTATCCGATAACTGAGTGCGACGATTCTTACCACGGTTAGCACTTACATGGTAAATTGTTGCATATAACATCGTTTTGGTAGATTAAAATCTTATCCGGTATGTAATTGTTAGTGTTGAATTTTACTGATGAGCACTTACTGAATAAGTGTGGTAAATAGCCCATAAGACTTCAAATATTATTTTTTTCAATATATATTGGAACTCCTCTTTTCTTATTAAATGCTTTTTCCTTTCGCTTTCTTTGAGTAATTTAATGGGGTTCGACACATACCCATATCAGAGTCAACCTCTACCGATATAGAAACTCAACACTAGATTTCCGACAATTAATTTGTGTCCGGCTAGCCTCCATTGCACGAGTGCATGTTGGAATCCTACAACCGCTAGATATTGAATATGTATTCTTAATGTATATTCGGACATTCCTTCGTTTTTGAAAAGTAATCTAACGGTGTCACGTATTATAGCGTCTAATTATACATCACATATCTTTTTAACCCATATAAAACTTATTGGAGAGGGTTAAATTGTTGTTTCACACGTCCTTTAATGGTTGTTTTTGTTGGGAATCTCTTTACTTGTGTAGGGAATCTAGTTGGATTCTCAAAACAAAACACAATAAAAAGGTGTTATAAAAGTTTTGAGATGAGGAATGTAGATTTTCCATTGGAGAGACAATATATGAAATGACCACTACATCAAAAAAAAAAAGTTAAGTCATTTGAATTGATGATTCTTTCACGCAAACACAAGGTACATGCATGTTTTATCCAATTAGAGCATCTTCAATGGAGGTTAATGAGAGCCATTATATGTATCATGCATTGTGAAGGGAGGTTAATGAAATAGAGGTTAATGACCATTGTACGCATCATGGGGAGGTCAATGGGACCCACTAATTTATTTTTTCTTTTATAATTAAATTTGTAAGGATTTAATTATGATATTATATATATATATATATATATATATACACTATAATATGATATTTATTAATCAATAAATTAATTTTTATTTTTATTTTTCTTAATTTATAAAAACAACATAATTAATAAAACATTACATTAATTTCAAAATACATTACATTAATAAGATATTACATTAATTTTAAAATACATTACATAAACTACATTTAGATTTAGTATATATATATATATAAATATATATATATATATATATATATATGATGTAGAAATCCATTAAACTCGTTGGAGTGTTATGGAGTGTGGGTATAAAACGATAGAGTTGTATGGTGAGTGGAATGCTGATGTGGCAGTCCATGACACTCTGATAGAGTGTCATCCATTGGAGATGCCCTTAGAGAAACATAAACACGGTGGCTATAGTTTAACGAAAATTTAGTTCCGGTTTTGTATTAATTGAATAACGGGTATCGTTATAAATTAATGTCGCATGGGAATCGTATAACTTGCATATCTTAATCTGTGAGAAGTAGAAGGCACAAAGTTACTACCATTCCTTTGCACGAATTCAACGGTTGTTTGTGGGAATCAAGAATTTTACGGTTCTTCTTCGTGGGAATTCGCTCTCGCCATAGTTTGAATGCTTTTACTATTTTAAAGCATTCAAAATGAACATTATCACTATTGTACTATTGTGACAAGGTAATAAGTCCCCACAAGTAAATCCAAGGAAATCATGTATTCGTTTCAGTTTTCATTGACTTTGTATCGGGATGATCTCCCACCATAGATTAAATGCTTTTACTACCGGTTTGCATCTAACGGGTTCGGACTAACAGACATCTCTAAGACGATCTTTGTTATTTGATCAATCATGCGGTTTCGAATGGATTCAAGAGGGTAATCATAAGAAGCAAAACTTTGTCGTACTATTTCGACATGACCCCACAACGAAATCGAAGGGAATCTTGTATTTTTTTTTAATTTTCATTGACTTTGTAGGGCAGAATCTATAGGACACAATAACCCAATTAACTTAAAGGTGGTAGAAGTGTTATGATTCATGTGGATCTCCGTCTTCTTGTTGGAGGAATCCCCTTTAGAGTGGTTTGGTGAGTGAAATTATTTGGTTTTGTTTGATGTCCCAAGTGGGCTTATTGATTTAATTGGCCACCAAATGATGTTGGGGTTAAGTGGCGATGATGTAATATTGTGGGGTTGAGTTTGTAGTGTTTGTGAGGAGTACTAATTGTGGGTGGCATCAAGAGTCCGCACCTTTGCCAAAATAATTGCATGCTACTTTCTGATTTGGATATTCACCTTACATAATTTTATTGCTATTTGTTTTAGTGGGAGTGACGTTAATTCCCTTTGATTAATATATACCATAACTTTGAGACGTCTAATAAGCTAACCTACGTGGTGCACCATATCTAATAAAGTGTTCTCTAAAAGCAATATGGATAATATTCTCATGCCATTTTAATGGGATTTTTTTTTATTTATAGAAAATTTTCAATGTGATTATTGCAATATATGATACAAATTATAGGTATTGTTGGTGTAGAGGAAGCAACAAATCGGTGTTTGTTGGACCAATGCCACAATCTTTTGAGCTCTATCATCGACGGATATATTTATCAATGAAACAAACCATGAGGAAAGTGTTTAATTGGAAGACGTTTACCGGGGGTTTTCCATTGACATTTAAAATTTAGTAACAATTCAGTTCATCGGTAATGTTTTGGTGAGAAGTTCACAAGTCCAAGTGACGAGGATGTCATCCTCGACGATGATATCTTCGAGCATGCGGAGAGTCATAATAAATTATTATCGAATTAACTCTCTAAAAGTGATCTCAAAGAATATTCTACCTTATACTCAAGTTTATCCAGGAAACCCCGTACTAACTATATTTTGTAATTATCGTTATTATTAAGGTCGACTCCCTGATTGATGTCCATAATGCATCAACAATAACTACGGTCTTCTGCGGTTTTTGGCCTCGACGGGGGCTTCCCGCATCACTAGAATCATTTGTTTTGTTTACTGTTTATGCCAAAAATCACCACTTAGTATAGTTTAAGGTTTGGATTGCAAAGCTAATCAATTGTAGATAGAACATTCGAAATAAACAAGACAAATGAACAAACAATAAACAAGACAAGAAGTTTGGTGACTTGGAAAACCCTATCGAGGGTAAAAACCGCGGACACAGTGAGTATTGTCGATGCACTGTAGAAGTCAATCAGGGACGTTGTCTTTAACAACAGTGGTCGTATTAATAAATCGTGGATAAACACGAAGTTTCGTGTTTAAGCTTAAAAAATAATGATTAGTTCTTCAAGAATGTTTCAACAGTTCGTTCTTTCGTATTCACAATATTGCTCTTGTTATAGTTGATGATCAGATGTCCTTTGCTCGAATATTTTTGAACCTTCTTTTATGGTGTCTCGAATAATTGTTGTAATGGTCGTCTTCAATTGTCTGTATGAATAATTGGGTCGGTTATTAAAGAGGTGAATCTTGGTAATAAATCATTCAAGACCTACAATAACTAATAAAGATAACAATCTTCAAAGATAAATCAACATTAGAGGCATCCAAAGATATTTATCTAAGATCTCGACTATCGTCATCGTTGATATCGACAATCACGAGATGTTGGATGTTTTGTCCACGATATTTCCAAGTCAATCGAGGTTACGATTTTTTACCCGGACAATTTGCCCCCCTAGAGATTTGAATTTCAAATTTTACAATTAAATTTCAGATTCACGCCAAAAGTTGGCTTTGAGGTTTTTTACACATGTTCTCCTTCGGTAATTAGATCAGTTGAGTGAAAACCAATTCAATTTCTTGTGATATTGAATCGCTGATTTTGGCGATTGGATTGTTCAGTACACACGTAATGTTTCTATGTCAAATACATCTGCTATCTGACACGCAACTCTTATCCAGGATGGCAATTGAATCGTTGGGGCATAGGTCATATATAGGGACCACGTTATTTCTAACGACTCCGTGATGATTTTTTGAAATTTTTGGGCCATAAATACCGATTTTAATTTCGAGTTTCCTTTTTACGCTTACAAAATCTTCGAGAGAGGTGAACCCTTTCCTTACTGAGAATACCTGCAAATAATAAAGGATAAATTTATGAAGATCCCTACATATTCACAAGGTACGATCTCGAATGTCTTACATTAAGCATTTTGCGAAAAAAAACCTCGAAAATTTAAGAAAGTTTTGAGCTTATACGCTGCTTCTGTCAAAATACCATACTGTGAAAAGATGAATGATCCCGCGAGTGCAATAGAAGAACAAAGCGATCTCGAGGTCTTTAGAAATATATCCTAAATTTCTTCGGATATAAAGCTTTCTTGTCTAGGCTATCCTCACCCAAAAAAATGTCCACCGGGGTGGTGCTTTCTATACGAATACCCCTTTAAAATCGACTTCACTTTGTTGTTTTCACCTTTATTTATGGCTTTCTTAGAATCCTTTGATTTATCGCCAAGACAGGTGATGCCCAATTCTGGAGAATAGTAAGAGTTATTGAGCGTTTGACTAGTGAATGGGAGTTTCCCTTCACAGTCCATGATTTGGCAGTTGCTTACTCCGTTAAACCAGAAGCTAATCATCGACACAACCTCTACCTCAAAGCGAAAGTTAGCAAGATTTTGGTCCTAGGAACTTTTTCCAAACTG